TTTTTTTTCACAGAATTAAAAAGGAAAAAAAAAGGTAAAATTTAAAAAAAAAAAAAAAAAAAGCTTGGCACTTCTGTGATTAGTTTGAGTTATGGAAAATCTGTATAACAGCCAAAAAAAAAGTAATCCAGACTTATAGTCAATACATAGATATGCATTTATACATTTTAATTGTTTTTGGTTTCAAGCATACAAACTTCAGATCACATCTGTTCGGCGTCGGAACTCCCTGCATCTGCATGCTATTATCTGCCTTTTTTGAGCAAGCCCAGAACATCCGCTGTACAACATGCTACAGGAAAAAAGGGGAGCAAAAAAAACCCAAAACCAAACCCAACATCAAAAATAGATTTACATAAAGAATAGAACCATTTTATATGGAAATCCTTTTCTCTCATATATATATATATTTATATATAATCTGTGAAAATGATACATCAAAATCTTATTTCCATATTTACACTTTTTCCTTCTTGGAAGAATTACATCCGTCACTCGATAGCTTCCACACCCAACAGACTCCTGGCCCAGGAGACCAAAAGAAGGTGGACAGCGAGCTCACAGAGCAGGGAACTCTGAAGCCGAGCGGCAGAACACCCTGCATGGCTGGAACAGCTATCGGAGCCTGGCATCAGCTTCCCCGTGGTTTGTATCAATTGGGCTGCAGATTCTGCTTGGGGTGATCTTGCTAGCTTGGTTGGTTGTACGTGAGCCATGCAGGTTACCCTTTCAAAATTAGCTCCTCATGCCACTGGAGTTGGATAAGAAAAAGGAAGTCATGCGAACTCAAGTGAAGTTAGAGTGCCAGCAGGCTGGGAAAAAAATCTTCTGCTGTTTCGTTGTTTTGGAACAGTTCTCTTATTGCACTTGGTCTGTGTGTCTCCTCCTTTGTTTGAGGAAAGAAAAAAACCACCTGATTTTGAAACAGTTTGCTTGTAACACTTGTCAGTTAATTTTAACAAGAGAAAGGTGAACGGAGGAAGTATTTCGAACTTATCTCCAAAAAGGACAGTCTTCTACCACCTCAAATCCTAACATCCCAACATTGTCTTTATAGTTACTATTTCTCATGTTCTTCCTGACTGGTTTAGTTCCTGTGCAGCTACAGCAAAGACATCGTACCCCAAATCCAGTAGTGCAAGAAGAAGCTTTTTGAACTGCATTTCTTCAGATAGGGCCTTGTTGACTTGGATCGAACCTTCGTTTTTTGACATTTCTTCCAGGTTGCATCAAAAGGAGATGAAAAGAGAAAAATGCAAGACATTAGTTAGATATAACAGGAACAAAGCCCTTGCCAAGGTCATAGTGAAGTAAAAGGCTCACACTGAGACAGTTTAACAAGTAACTTTTCCAAGGGGTAACAATTTAAGGAATTTGGTTGCACGCTTCCTGTAGCATAGTATCAAGTGTTGCTTTCCTTATGCAGCTTAAAGATCATGCTGGCATACAGAATTCAATTATTTCTGTAGTACTTCAAGTGGTGCTCTAAATTTGTAGCAGCTTTCAGCCCACAGTAACCCTGTGTCCACTAGGCCAAGAAAGCATGCGTATACCTAAAGGCAATGAGTCAGAAGTGCCAGTACTGGAAATACGGAAGCACGCGGAGACTTGAGTTCTCGGAGCAAGTGCCCATCTCTGGCTGTACCAGCACACCAGAACTCGGTTTACGTATTCCAGTGTGACAAAAAAGTGAGTGCCTCTGTGAGCTCTTACCACACTAGTGACCACACGACTGCTGTGAATCTTAGTAAGGTGCAAGATATAGCAAAGACATTGCAATCGAAGGAGAGTGGACAGTTTTGTAAATTGTGTGATTAGAATTTAACGTTAAGAGCGGATAGCAAGCTGGTCAGTGGTATCCAGTCTCCTGCGATACTGATGTCCTATGTCAAACAGCAAGACATTAGGAAGCGACAACAGAAGTTGGGTGCAACCTCCCCAGTATCTGGCTTTATGTGGGGCATCAAGCAAGGGGCTCATGCATTTAGTTTTAACATTGGGCATATGCACCACTACCGCCACCAAACTGACATGCAAAAATACAGAACAGGAATTCATAAATTCCCTAAAGCTACATACCAGCCCCGGGATTTTCTGTTTTCTGCAGCCCTGCTAACTACTACCACTGATACAATATTTATAAATATACTATACACGAGGTTTGCCTGGTGGTTTAAGAGACTAATGGATATATGCAAAGGCAACTTCTTTTTGAACAGACTTCCAAAGACTGGTAATTCTTGGGCATCCTTGGTTTTGGTTTGTTTGTTTGGTTGGTTGGTTTTGGTTTTGGTTTTTTTTCCCTTGGGTACCAGTGCCTACGTTTTTGCAAGGTGAATGCTTGAGAACTGCTGGTTTCTGAATGATCGCTATATTCATCTTTCAATCATTTCCCCTCTAGGAGTACTGTGCTTCTGAATTAGGCTGGCATGACTTCAATCTCTCACTCCATCCTCCGCTGTACTACAGGTAAATTTGAGATGAGCAAATCATTTTTTCAGGCCAACTTGCAGAACTGCATGATAGGAAGTATGACTATAATATAACTGGGTTAAACGTGAGGTAAAATCTGCTTTGCGTCTGCTTGTCCTGCCAGTTTCAATGGGGAAAGGACTTGTCTGCTTCTCTTCCTCCTCTGCCCCCCCGCTTTAAATACGGTCTAGCATACTTGAATCCAAACACCTAATTAGTCAGTCCCCCTAAACCAAGTCATCAATGCATGTAAAAAATCCAGATGATGTAATTTGTCCCCCTACTCTAGGGAAAGTACCATACTCCAGTTTGCTTGAAGAGGACAAGTCATTAAAACACACACTGAATTACACTCTGCTACCTGAGCTTATTTTAATTAAAGAAATGGACTTTGTAAGTCTTAGAACAAGGTACAGAGGACAGATGCTACGCTAGCTTCCTAGCGCGGCTCTTGTAACAAAACTCTTTTGACTTTTATCCTATCAAATCTTTTCTAACCTGATCTCCACCAGTGGAGTATTCCAGTAAGGACCATTCGGTTGTACGACAGCTCAGCCAGCACCTGTGCCGCGGGGCAACAGGCAAAGTCGGCTGTGCCCTCGCCATGCATTCTGTGATCTGTCCAAACCACATATTTCCTCATTTCCTAGTTTTATCCAGCAGAAATACACACTGCAAGGAATAAGGTACTAACCAAACCACCGCCTTTCTTCGCTTAGGATATTCTGCTAACAGTGTTGCAGGAGAAGGAAACGTGAAGAACTAAAAGAACATTTAACATAAGAGCCTCTGAGTAGTCTCTGCAACACGGAACATCAGGTACAGTGTCAATAAGGGAACATAGTGCACACGTGCAAAGCGTTGACAAGAGCCTGCCGCCTCGCTCTGCTGCCATCGTAGCACGTCACAGAGGTGGGCAGGCAGGCAGGCGTTACCCTGCAGGAATCGGAATTCTATTCTGATTCCCCAACCTGCTTTAACAACTTCATCCCAAATTACCGACCATTTTGATACTAAAATGAAGACAGTAGTCTTACTTAAATCAGCAAATAGAACAAATCTCTCTCTTCCCCAAGAAAATTACAATAAAAAGAAAGGAAACGAGAGGAGTGTCACGTCCTGGGTATCTGCACCTCTTTATAGCTATGTATTATAGCAGTCCAAGGTTCCTCTCGGTATGCTTCAGTAAAATGACAGGGTGAGGGGCAGAGGAGTCCTCTAAGGAAGGACACATAGGAGAATGACGCTGTTTCCTAGGTCTGTGTTGTTTTGTGTGGAAGATCTTAGAGCACCAGCTTCTTTTTGCATTTAATGTTTTAATGCCTCTTTAAATAACGAGGGTCAGCCTTTCAGTCTGTAATCCAACCAGAAAGATTGTCTCTAACAAAAACAAAATTATAGGTGATTCTGAATCAAAAAAGCGCACCACGCTAGAGCACATCACTGCCTCTGTAACACGGTCATTTTTACAAATGAAAAATACTTCAGAAAAGAAAACCTGGTTTCAGAAAAGGCTGGATGAATACAACAAATACCTTGCTGCAATCCTCTGCATTTTTTTTTTTTCAACTAATTAGGAATGCGGTTACACAGTGTATTTCTTGCAAATCTGTGCCTTTGTCTGTGAGCACATAAATACAAAGCTTTACTTAAGTATTTAAAGTTTTATCCAAAACTGGTATTTTAACCACTTCAAATAGCTGATGTTTTCATAAGCATTCCTAAAGCATGGTTCAAATGCTGAAGAACAGATTAAATAAATGATCTTTTGCTACAAAACTGATTCAAATTAACAAAATGAAGGACTAAAATTAGCAGCTTAAAATAAGACACTGACCTGCCACTTATTCTAGTAGAAAATCTCTCACGTTTGATTCTAATGCTGATGTCTGTGGGGCGATGACTGTATTTAGGGCCACAATCCATGCTCTACAGAAATGCTGGTAGGGGACCGAAACCTCCTTCCTCACAACGTCGCTGTCAGCATTCCACTGCCTTATCTTGCAGAAACTTTTGGGGTCTAAATGCATCTGCACAGACCAGTTAAAAACTTGGCATCTGTAAGGACCGGGTAAGTCTTTGCTCCACCCATTAATCTTCCATTAAAGGGACAGAAAGCCCTGCAGCTCTTCAGCTAAGAAACAATTGCTGGAAATAGAACTGTGCCTACAATCAACTCTTCTCCGTCAGCCACTTCTGCATTCTGATACAACGAGAAGCAGCTTTTCATATGCATTTCCACATCACTTTTGCTAGCACTGCCTCTTAGCACTGCTGCTTTATAACCAAAAAATTGCTTTAATGCTGCTAAAGTCAGCAACAAAAGCATTTAATTGGCCTATGTTACTGCAGTAGCTTTGCAAAAGTAAGTGAATACATGCTAGGAAAAAAAGCAAGCATAGGCCCCTGAGACTGCGATTGCAGCCGATGCGCAGCAGAACTACTCTAATAGTAAAGATGCCCGTCCTACCACGGTCCTGTATTCAGCACTGTATATCGAAATCTTGTGCAGACCTGCTACATCAAAATGAACTTCACATTTCATGAATGCCGTACCTCTCAACGTTACCCAGCGGAGTTCAGGTAGAAATATGTAGGGCTCCTTTACTGCAGTCTAAACACCAACTGCTTTAAAAGTACTACGCAAGGCTCAACTGAAGTAAAATCTGCTTCTTAACACGGTTTCCACCCACAGCCTCTACCTCTAAGCCACCTGAAATGTGTAATGAGGCTCTATACCCCCTAAAATTGTCAGTCAACTTTTTTCTTTCCTAGTCTATCCACACATTAACTTGATTAGAAAAATTAACCTTGGATTCATTCTTGAAACTGGAAGTTTTGGGTTGGTTTTTTTTTTTCCTTTGTTTCTCCAAACTTGCATCAAGCCTTCTTTTACACTCCCCCTCCAACCCCCACCCCCTCATTTCATGAACAAAGTTTGCTTAGTTGCAGCTTACGTTTGATATGGACTTGACACCACAGTACCGTATGTTCATATGAACATCTGATAACCTGTGAAACAGAAATCACATCTCCCAGTTTGTAAAGCATTAGCTACCTTCTCTCATATTTGCAGAGACTAAACATATCACTTGCTTAAAAAGGAAAAGTTAAAATCCTCTTTATTATCCTCATCTGTCCCTCCAGATACATCTGAAGCAAAGTATCAGAGGGTCTACGCGTGCTAGCCCTCTTCTGTATACAAAAGCTGAAAAGCCTTTTCAGTTCCCCTCTGACCCCCAGAAGAAACATGCACTTCAAGCTGTGAGCTAGGCCAGGCCAGTGTATTTGAGGTTCTGCTACAGAATAAACACTCGTATCTTGCTCTTTTGGGAGTAAGAGCTCCAAGAGACTTCTCCAATACAGATCCTCTATGGGGATAGCAAGCTTCTACGTTTGGGCAAACAAACGACACCAGGATGCAAAGCTGAACGCTTGGGAGATGTGGAACACAAAGAAGAAATAAACAATCAGTTCAATGCTGGATTGTTTCAGACAGGGAGGGATTCTTCTAAAGATCTGTGGTCATGCAAGCTCCCGAGCGTGGGCATCCCCAGCGGGCAGCCAGACCGCTCGCGCAGCTGCTAGCGGGTGCTGCAGCGCTGGCGTAAAGGAGCCACGGTGGTTATGGCACAAGACAGCTTAAAACGATTCCGAGGAAGGAACTGCCTGAAGTTTTTGTATTTTAATGACTTGTACTGTGTTTTCAACAAGTTACCTTCTGCAATACAAATGTAATATTTAGGGATGAGTGCTCTGTGTCTGGAAAGTACATGAGTTGCTACGTACCAGACGTGTGTCTCTGATAGCAGAAAACTGGTCCAAAAGTATAACCTGACATTTATTTTTTCCAACAAAATCTAGCTTGGTTAATTCCCATAGGAACTTACAATATCAGTGTTTCTAATATTATCGCTTTAAATGTGCATGCATTGTTGTTCTCAATAAATAAATAATTTTAACAGAAATGTTAACGCAAGCCTTGCAGAAAATTTGGCTGTATTTATTTAAAAAAGCTAATTGCAGTGAAGTGCAGGGGAAAAAACCCTCAGTTCTGCAACTAACTGAAACCTTCGTGTATTGTTTATATGCTTTGTTTAGGTTAAAAGACAGCGCTCTCCTATAATTCTGCATCTAGTAGGATATGGTAGAAAAAACGTAAATGTACTTCTATTACTTAATGCTACAGAATATCTCCAAGATTACAGAGAGTCTGTAAAAAAGCATTATTCCCAGAGCAGGCCTTTACACAGAAGAAATCTTTCAATCTATCAAATGAAAAGAATCCCAGTTCCTTCTTGTGTTAACACCAGATGCAAAGCCACGTCTGTCACTGCATATTCTAACATACGCGCCTCATTTGAATTTCTGCCTTTGAACGTAGATTCGATGAAACAACATAACAAATCAAAAATGCATAAATACTGAATTGTTTTACTGTTTATAAATATGGAAAATACAAGTCTCAGCCATATGAGAGACAATGCAAAAGACAGACAGAGGACTGAATTAAAACTACGTTGTTTAGAGCTGCCCTGTAGTAACTTAGAAATACTGGAGGCTGACTTAGGGGTATTTATTGTACAAATAAGTGGAGTGGATTTAATTTATTTAACTGAGAAGAAGCTGTAATAAAAAAAAAATACAGCAGCTCAAAGC